TTTAGAAACTTACCCCCTTGATACCAACGACAGGCTGACTAAAAGTTTAGACAAAGAAAACGAATTAATAGGAATTTAGCAACGGGATAGCCCTTTGCTCACTGCTACCCATGTCGACACTGATGCCTGGAGTGTTTGTGGTCAGCAATTTTTTTTTTTTTTATCTAGAACTTAAAAACAATTTCTCCTCAAAAAAAATAGATCCACCTCTTGAAATGTCGATTTCAACCTCTTTGATTGTGTTGATGTCCGGGAGTCGTGGAGCTGTGTTCTCATGCAAGAGGTTCCCGTTCAGACTATGACTGAGTACGTGGAAATGCTCTTGGTAACTATAGTTTCATTGTAGAAACTTTCAGTTGAGCGTCGAAAATAATCTGTTATCGCACTGACTTTAATTGTTTAACTTCACTCTGTGATTGGTCGAGGAAAATCACGCAATCTTCTTCAAAGGTTAGTGGTGGGTGGTTCGACCAAAGCCTAAGGGAGTGACACTATGTCTATTGCGATGCAATAAGAAAGTGATCAACAAGCAATTTGATCAATCCTTTCCAACGAAAAACAGAAATCTGTAATCTAAAAATTTGTTAGCAAGTATGGCCAATAATAATTGGTTATCACTGACTTCCCAGGAGCCCATCAAGTTGAATGATTTTGACAATTCCTTTCTGTTTCTTTTCGCGATATTCGTATATCTATTGTTTAAGCAGTTCATAGGCTCGGACTCTAGCTGCCCGGGTTTCTTCCTAACTGTTTTAAAACTATAAGAAATAAAAGCATACCACTGTTCTAGATACGTTAGAATACTTCTGTGGTCAGAAGCGGTCATAAATCTAATTAACCTTTACAGCTAAAAGGTTTGCCGACCACAAACCGTTTTTAGTAAACTGAATTTTAACCAGCGGTAAATGCAATGTCACATTACGTTCATTTTGACTGTGTGTTTACAATAGGTACGAAAGCGATAAATTCTTAACAGTAACCAATTTACAAAGACCTATCAACTTACAGCGTCGATGTCTCTGGCTACCAAAATCAGAAGATTCCTCCTTCGTCTAATAGCAACCGATTTAAGTGAATTTTTTCAGTATAATTCGAACTTTACCAGAAAAAAAAGAGGATCGTATTTTAAGACGGCGATCTTTGACAAATTATTGAAGCTCTTTCATGGTACAATCGTTTTTCATCAGCCAAGCCGAGGATGTAGTTTGGATGAATATCTGACTCATCAGTAGCCCCAGCAGGTGCAATCTGCCTCAAGTGTTGGAACACGTCAAACCTATTTGACTCTTTTGCCATCCGAGCCAAGCAAGAGATCACTATCTTAGTTTTACGGTCTGCCTCATTCAGAGAAGCTTTATCTATTTGCAGACTTGCTTTGAGTCGTAGTAAACCTCTTTGGCACCACGCGAAGCTGACATGAGTGATTATTGAACTTCAGCAGGAAGGGATATTTTCTCAGAATCTAAAATGAAAACGTTGCATCACAGTCAAATTCTTTTTATTCTTTCGTGAAACTTTTCTTCCTGGAACGGAGAATTTACATTGCAATTAACCCTAAACCCTGACTTACATGGAAAAATAAGGATCGAAACACTGGTCAATAGGTTCATTTGGTGACTAGAAAAGATTTCATTTTTTCCTCTCCGCTGCTTTTCATTTCCTATCTTCGTCCTTACAGGTTGCCTCACTCTGCACACCGTCGAATTAACTGCGGACAACCTCAAGCCAGGCATCTCCATCGGCTATTTTGTAGCAAGGTGAAAATTCCATATTAAGAGTAAACAAGAAAGATAAAGGAATTTTCTCTTAAAGATTGTGATGTTTGCTGATTACTTTAACTGTCATTATTTCTCTTTTCCTTAAAAGGTATTTCTCATTGGTATGTATATCTGAGGAAGTCAAAGAATGTTAAATTTGCAACTTCCATGCTTTGCCTCTGTGAAATGAGATCGAATGTGTTGAGACGACAGTTTTCTTAAGGTCCAATTTAGCTGCTTCATTTGCGCATAAAAGGTATACATGAAATACCGCTTTAACAATTTAGACAAAAATAACCTCAAGTCACCTTTCATAGCAACCAACTCTCTCCCATTCATGTTCAGCTTTCAGCTGTGGGACATGAGCAGAAATAATCATTTTTCGGCACATGAAATATTGTTAATTATCCTGGTAATGCCGCCTACAGAGAGCGTGCGAGATTCAATCACTTTCAGCCCTTAAAAGATAGGCCCAGCAGTAACCTGGTGAAGTTTCCACCCTTAAATTACCACCTCGTTACCACGAAAAACAAACTTTTATTCGTGTTAGTAAAGTGAATCGTAGGTCAAAGCGTGATACAAATTGTGCCGCCTTAAAAATATGAAGAAATTAAATTCAAAGTTCATGTACAGCACAAAAGCTGAGAAAAAGGTAATGTTACGATGAAAAAAGATCGTTACCTGGCTTTCATTTGGTGACAACCATGGCGAAAATGTCTCGACCTGAACTTTTTTGTTTAGTGCAGTGGGACACCTCCTGCAACGAACGGTTCTCTTTGCACTGCATATTTCAGACTCAGTCCAGTAATGGAGACAATCCTCCTGCTTGCAATCTCCTGTGCGATGTGGGCGAAAGTACTTGAGTGAGCCTCCTGTACAACTGACCGGACACATGAAACTCACATCAAATCTCAAGTTCTTCATCCAAGAGAACTCCTTTCGCATTGACTCAAGTACTGATCCCAAATGTCTTCACACTGTATGAGCAAACGTCTCGTCGAAGGTTTCATTGCTGACATTCATACACAACGTCACCTGTGATGGCTGGAAGCATTTCAATTCATCAGCGAGATAAAGAAATTGTGCTCATAAGAAAAGGCTGCTGCAGCATTTTCATCTTGGTGTTTTTCTCCTGCTTTCCATACCTCATAAACAATTTAAAAATGGGAAGGATCAGCATCTATCCCAACAGTGCTGTCCTCAAGTGGATTGAACTTTTGGCTCGTAAGTGATGTTTTTAAGCTGGTCTTTCCAGAGCGGTCTTGTCGAATCAACATGATCGGAACCCTTTTGTTTTGAGTCTTCCCTCCAGCAAGAGCCTTGTTCAAGGCCCTTATAGCCATACGTCCCCTTGCAAGAATCTCTGGAGGAGCGACCTCTGTAACAGTTGCCAAAAAATTGCGAAAAAGTTACGTTTCATAGAGCTAACAACAAGGAAAATGTAAGACACTACCTAATTAACAGAGAGTTCAAAAGTATCTTAACACTATCGAAACACATTTACATTTTAGAAGTGAGCAAATCTAATTTCACGATGATGATTCGAGCCGATAACCTTAAATTCAAACACACTGCTAACATAAGCAACTCAGAAACAAAATTTTAAAGTATTGTTAATTTTGTGAGTGGAAACATCGCCTGAAGAGCACTAGTAGTATGTAGTCGAAACGTTGCAATCCACATCCCAATTGACCGCATCGTGAGAAAAACGATGATATTTCTTTTTTGAAAGAGTTCTTTACCTCGATGACAAACCACCACCTATTTTACGATACGGTGAAAAGGAAGTTAGAAAATTAGGCTTTGCAGTCAAGATTGCCTGCGATACTGTCTATTTTGAAGGAAGTATATTTAGGCGTCTGCGTATTTGCTATAGTTCACAGTTTGCTGAGAGGAGGATATCTTCCGTAAGGAAGCAGAGTTTTCCACGAACCTACCGCTTTTTCCATTTTTTATAGCAATACAAACCCGTTATTTCAACCACCGTCTGCACATGGAAACATTTTTTGTACCAGAACCAAAAACATCCAACATTTGCCGTCCAAGCTGAATACACGTTTACCTGGCTTGTCCTGGGCTGGCGTATGCTTCAAATTTTCGATAATTGGTTCTAGAATCTTGACCGTGTCGTGTTTTGTTGATCTAATGTCCCTTTTTTGTTTCAAAGCGTTCACATCTGAGTAAATGCTCTCCGGCGGCTTTTGTAGGGAATTTATCTGAGTTTGATTTTCCCCTTTGATACGTTGTTCTAGTCTACGAACTTCATTTGTGGGAAATTCTGACCCTGTTAAATCACCAACGATATAAAGAGGGTTGACACTAAGAGCTCTAAATGCTTCTGTAGCGTGCTGCACCTACTGATCAAAAGTGACTTTCACAATTTCAGGAGACAGCGAGTGAATAAGCGAATTTCTTAAAAGACGCAATTGATCAATAGCTAATGCCAACGTTTCAGCAGTATTTGCGCTCGGGCCTGGAACAGGGTGGCACAATCCCATTTTTCTTAGGAGAGGTGTGTGGGAACTTTGATTTTTCCACCCTCTAAAGTGAGAAAGAAATTTCTCACTGCAGTGGAGTCATCCCACAGATGATGACTGTGAAGATGTGTTAAGTTGTTTTCCCACATAGTCTTGAATGTCTGATGTAAGGCTTTTGGGAACCTCTCCAAAACAATGGTCGAAAATTTAAAATAATTCAACTCCTCCTCCCGAAATTGTTGTTGCGTCATTTGTTTTAACAGCTGTCTAAAAGGTAGTAAACCAGGCTTATTAAATCTTGGCAATCTGTGGAATACTAATAAAGTTGGAAATTTGAAAATCACATATAACACATTACTACTTAACGGTAAATCAACTCCAAGTTTGTTCTTTTTGAGATCGTCCGTGCTTTTCAAGATTTCATTACTTTTCTCTGTGTACGTGAAGAATCGATATTTATCCAGTCATTTCAGCTATTGAAAGAAAATAAATGAAAGGAAAACAGAAAGATAATCAGTGTGCTAGTCTGGAGTGGGCTCCTTTGTCAGGAATAGGACAATAACTTGTATATGGTACCAAAGAAAGAGGCACCCCATTCCTCATCTAGAGGTCTAGGCCAAGATTTAATAGAAAGAATAAAAAATATAATGTTCAGTTCTAGGAACAAGTTTCTTTGTGTGTAATTGGGGGAATAACAGAGAAATGGGACCAAAAATGGGAACCCCACTTCCCATTAAAAACATGGTCCATTGTTACGTGTACAATCATTGACAATAAAATTTTGAAATCAACCCACACCATTTGGACTTTTAGTTTTCTGCCAACCATTCAGTGCATACTGTTAAGTGGATGATGATAAACATGAACCCTGGAGAGTCCAGATGATCCTCCAGAGTGTTCCCATCTCAAAGAATGCAGGATGCAGGGAAACAGCAAGTAACCAGTATATTGATATCCAGAGGTTTAAATCCCTGACATCAGCTACTTCTAATGATGAGTAGATTCCACATCTTCCCTAGTCAGATTTGAAGTCTTTGCTTTAGAAATTCATGACATCAAGAAAATTAACTTAATAGAACTTAAAGGATTAAAAAAGACCACAGAAATTAAAAGCTGATATAAAGTAAAGATTCCAAATATGACCAGACTATGCTTTCAGTAACATATCTCGAAGAATAACCACTGTAAGTGGGAGCATTTGGGGTTGATTAGGTTGATGAAAGAGTAAAAAGCAAAAACAAAATAAATTTACTTGCATGGAGATTTTTGATCCCTGTAATCATTATCATTTTACATTTAGGGTATCTTAGTTATTTTATAACTCCTGATCTTTCTTGGGGGACTGGGCACTACCACAGGTATTCTCCCACCAAAGAAATTGTTGCTTATCTTTGATACTTGAGAAATGTCTGCTACTTGCATACTGAGCAGATTGTTTATACACTGTTTTAATGCCACTGCTTTACTTTGAAGTAATGGTCCACTTTTTAAGCTACTAGCATCATTAAGAAACAAAAGGGGGCAGTTTCCAGTAGTAAGACCATCCAGTAGAAGATGAAGAAGATCCAAGAGCATTTCACCACAGTCTTTTTCACAGCATAAGAAATTGGACATGAAGTAACACATGAGTAAATGCTTCAGAGAAAAAGTGTCACAGATGCTTATACTAGCAGAAATAGATGTGTGTTCACAAGCTTCGACAAAATGAGTTTCATTAATCAGTTTTGCCACACGATAAACCACAGCAGCTTTTTCATTTTCACTGAAAATATATTTCAGCATAGTTATCTCTGCTCTGGACCAAGAAATTCGCCAAATAGTTCCAACCTTCGTAACTGCATGAAAGCCTGAGCTCTTAATTTTATTTTTGATCAAGAGGGCTGGATGACCTTCATCAATTAAACTGTCAAACATTCCAGACAGCAAAGGCCATCCTTTGCATTCTACAGCCACACATAAATCTACAGACACCTTAAGATGATCTTTCCACAAAAGATCTACTTTTTCTGAGGCTGCAATTTGCATGGCTCCTCTTAATTTCAACCGATCAAAGGTAAGACCAGTGGAAGAAAGCAACTTTATATTTGAAGGCCAGGTTATCGATTTAAATGCCTCTCTTAACAAGGAAAAAAACCTCTGCTTCAGCATGCTACCGTCCAAACAAAGAAAGGTGTGGCCATCAGCAGTGGGAGCGGTGTCGAAAGGATCAACAACATTGTGTACCTCCTCGCAAAGTTCTGACCATGAATTACGTATTTCATCCTCGTCAAGAGTTGGAATACGCAAGAAGATGTAACGCTGTTTTCTATCCTTATAAACTACATCACATTTTCCCGCAAGTTTGGAAAGGCACACCATAAAATCGAACTCATCGGCTTGCTTGATTTTTGTACCCTCGTAAAAACTACCTGACGGCTCAAGTTTGCTTTCGAATCTTGGATCATTAGAGGCCACATTTAAAAGCAGCAAGGAAACTGTTTCCTCTATGGCCTTTTGGATATCTTGAATCTCTCTGTTATCGGGTAGTTTGGCGTAATTTTTGTCCAAATAACCAATACACTCATTTAAACTCATTCTCCGTTGCCAGTAAACAATTTCTTTCAGGTGGTTGCCTACTTGGTGCCAGTCTTTCCCGTTTATTTACTAATCGCAGAGTCTGACGGGACGGCTTGGTTCCATCACACGTTGTCTACCATATTGTCGTTCTTCATCTAAAGTATATGTTCTCGAGATATGGCCAGTGAAGAAAGCACAAATAATGATGCTGCGGAGGTCAGTAATGAACAGAAAGATGAGAAGACAGAAGATAACGAAGCTACGACGTCGGAACCCAAAGAAGATAGCAATGACACCCAAACCACCGGAAAAGATAGTAACGAAGACGAGAAAGAAGTGAAGTTGTATGTTGGAAATCTTCCAGACCGCTGCAGACGAGCGTCTCTGCAGGAATTGTTTGAAAAATACGGAAAGGTTTCACAATGCGATATAGTAAAGAATTTTGCATTTGTGGTGAGTTTGAAGTTAAGGATCAATAAATATTTGCACGTGACATTTGACTATATCTGTATTAGTGGTATAAACAATGGAAAGTTGGCCACACTAATGTTGGTGGTGTAAAATTGTATAATTCCGAGTCCTTTGTTTTCACTTTAAATCAGTTGATATTTAAGGATAGGTAACTGTTAACTTTTGTGTCGCCCTTATTCCAAAATTCATATACAGATTTAAGTGATAGTGTAGTCTGATCATCCAGGTGAGAGTAGTCCTGAGAAGTGACTGACGTTTCAACAACCTGAGCAGAAGTCATCATTAGATTCAAGTGCATAGTTGTTGTTAGTCGAATGTTCTAAGTCTGGTTCATTTTTTTAAAGACTGACACCATGGACTGTTCACTACCTATTTGATTGCCAATTTCGTTTTTTTATTTATTTTCAGCACATGGTGGGTGAAAAAGGTGCAGAAGAGGCTGTTAATAAATTAGATGATTCAGAATTTTCAGGAACTCACATACAAGTACAAGTAAGACATTAGAGCAATCTTTATTTATATAAATGACCTTCAACCACTGGGAGTGGTGTCATTGAGATTGAAAAGAAAATTAAATGTATTTGGTTAAAAAAATGGGGACTGATTTTTTTGGTAGACCAAGAAAAACTGTAACAAGGTTCTTATCAATAGAAAAGGCATCTTCTTCATGAGTTACATGTTAAATACAATTTGACCTTTTCCATGGAAAAAAATTGATCATTTTCTCATGGGTTCAATGCACTTATTGTTTAGCATGAGCTTTCAGGGAAGTAAACAATTGAGAAGGTATTGCTAAATTTCACCTTACTCTAAGGCCTACTCTGCACACCAGACCAAATAGATTGTTTGCCAAAACTACATCCTTGGGAACCACACTGCAAATGAAATAACTTGAAAATGCAACTGTTGCATTTTACTTTTATTACATTTTCATAAACCTTTTTGTTCACAACTTTTCGAACCATCTTGGTTTTACTAGCCAACATGATAGCTCTTCTCTTAAATTAAAATTCTCATGAGTTAATTTTATATGAGTGTCATGTAAGTTGCTTGATTGTACATGTTTTCAAATTATTGGTCATGTGAGCACTGTTTATTTGTAGTATGCAAAAAGTAAAGGGAAGCCATCTGAGGATGAGTGCTTTCAGTGTGGTAAACATGGACATTGGTAAGTGTGGATGCTCCTGTGACAACATATAACTTAAACCCTCCTCAGTAAGATTGTTACAAGAAATGAAATGGTGGACAATGCAAGAACTTTTGAATGTGAACAAATTCTCCTTTTCGACTCCAAAAGAAATGTAAAGAGAAGGGTATGGAAAATATTATTGATGTTGTGGTGTAAAGGATTAACTCTCATGGCTGACCTAGACAGGATTTTCCTTACAATATGAATACATTATCAAGATAAGAGTAAACTCAAGAAAAATCTAAACAAGGGGACTATTACAAGTTGATCCAATACCAAATTCTCAGAACTAACTTCAGTACAGTACAGTACAGCAGACAGTAAGGAGATTTACTTAGTTGCTCACACATTATTTTGGACTTTCTGGGGTTGAATATCAATTGGGACATCGTCCTGTTTTCTTCTCCAGTTGCCAATACTATTCTGTACATGTAACAAATTTCAGTAAAGTAAAGTATTTGTATAGTTGGTTATAAGATTTATTGACTGATGTTTTCTTCTTAATTTTAAATCCACAGGGCAAGGGATTGTCCAAAGAGGCGAAGGTACATATCCAAGTTATAATTCATAGAGATACAAAAATTTTTGTGTGCGAGTAATTTTTACCATCAGCCTAAGCACAACATTTCTTTATCAAGTTACAAGAAAAATAAACTTTACAGCTAAACCAAAACATAGTGTCATGACTACAAGTACCTTTTTCTGATTTTCATTTTAATACCAGTGAAACATCTATTCCTTGGGAACAAACAATGTGGCATCTCACATGCATAATATTCAGACTTTTTGACAAGTCAAGCTCTCTCAGATTTTGAATAGATTTAAAATTGAACTACACTCATAATATGTCTAATTCTGTTTGCCGGTGATACTATGTTGGTTTTATAATTTGTTTTTGTTTTCTGCTAGTACGTACAGGTATGATGATCGCCGAGACAGATACGACTATCGTGGATATGATTATGGACCTCCCAGAAGAGGACCATATGACCGGCCCCCACCAAGAGGGTATTATGACCCCTATATGGATCGACGCCCTCCCCCTAGCAGAGATTATTATAGTGGTTATGGTAATTATTACAGAGGTCGCAGCCCTCCAAGGTCACCTCCAAGGTATTGATCAACCAAAATATTTGTACCCTTAGCCTTTTATTTAGACTGCAACACACAAGCCTTGAGAATGTTCATCTCATGCAGTGCAACAATTGTTTCCAGGGTGGTTTACACAACAGGGACCAATCGGATTAAAGGAAAGTGCACTGAATTCCACCTCAGCTGTTGTGTCCTTAGTTTGCCATTACTCTTTAGTTAGAATTTTTGGAATGATTGCTTATTTGTTGAAAATGTGGTGGACTCAAGGTCAAGTGGTCTAGGTTGGAGACCTGGCTAGGGGACTTTGTTGTGTTTTTGGGCAAAACTCTTTACTCCCATAATGCCACTCCCCACCTAGGGTGGATTGTTCAAAGCTGGGTAAAGATATCCAAAGGTTATTATGAAATTTTATTTCAGATCTGAAAGCTTTATAAGAAAATTCATTTCACTTCTTTTTGCTTACAATTTGATGATTGGATATTCTAAAAAGAGTAGAGAAAATTATTATAAAAAGACTCTTGAATAGAAGAAGAAAGCAACCTTGATTAAAATTTAACTGTGAGTTAACACTAATTGGCCTGCAAACAACTGGGCCCAGGAGTTTAAATGGGTACTGATTACCAAGGTACCAATTGTCAGGGAAGCCTGGTGAAATGCTGGGAGATTGCTCATCCACGAGGGGGAAGTAACACTCTTAGTCACTTCATACTATGGAAACTGGGATAGGCTGCAGCTAAATGGGCCACATGGCTCAACTACAGACTACCAATGCATTGCATATTTCCTGTAGTGCTGATTAATTGAGTGATTTTGTTAAATGACCTAATTTCAATTAGTCATCATTGAAGCTTTGAAAAAGCTATGGTGTAACAAGAAAGCTTTTCATTCAAACAAGTTTGTGACTGTCAGACCTTATTTTTTCACAGATATACTGGAGCTTATGAAGGTTACCCAACACCTCGCGATGGGTATGGAACTCGCAGGTACTCTTGCTTTCTTTATTTAACTTGTCTATGTTGATTCTCTTGTGGCAAGTTCTTCCTAAGAATAAATGAAAAGGGAAATGTACAGAAAAATCTAACTTAAAATGCACATGTATTGGTTTTTTGTTGAAAATATTTTGGCTGAATCACACAATCTTTTGTTTGTCTTTTGGAGTGTAAATGGTTACACAGCGTTGAATTATGTAACCACTCCTTCAAAGGGCCCTCCAATGGGAGGGTCAAAATATTTCCAGGAAATTCAATATATTCCAGTCAGCTTCTTGTACAGAATATGTTTTTACAGTGTGGAATGAAAATTTTGCTTCTAAAAAAAGGTAGCTCTGACTTTGTTTGAAACAACATGTGCAATAGCTGACTGGGAACCTGCTAGTGATATAAAAAATTGCATCAAAACAAAAAAAAAACTGCGAGTCTATCTGTCTGTTGGTTGCAGTCGTCGTTAGTTAAGGTGTCTTATCCTACTAGTATGACAAATTGGAAGTGAAAATTTGAGGCATCTTTACTTCCATTTGAATTATATCATGTTTTCGTCAAATCTGATCTGTTCACGATCTGTTCGTGATCCCGAAAACATTTGTTCAAATTTCATTGAGGTTTTTGTCTGTACATGCGAAGGTTCATCTAATTTCTTGATATTTGACTTGGTGTGGGAGAATTTGCCACAAAGAAGTGTTGAAATTTTGTGTCCCTTACTTTGTTAGGAGTCATGAAAAAAAGTTAAATCTGTCACCGAAGTTCGACCAATTAAATGGGGGAATCTTTTCTTTCTCACATATCTACAAAGCTACCATGGCTATGAGTTAAGCAGATTCTGTGCTCCGTTTGCAGTTTTTCCATAGGTTTCTTTTCTTTCTCAGGTATTAAGTGTCTGGAATTCCTGGGCGGTTGACGGAGCAATAATCTTTCGTTGTGCGGTCGGTTTTGAAGAACCTGTATGTCTTGGAAAACATCTCTGAGAGGATCGTGCAGATTGACTGTTACTCTTTTTTTACGTTCCCTTATAATGCAATTTTTTTAGAATAATTTTTTAAAGACACTGTCAATTACCCGCCAAAAAGTGTTTAATTGTAACTGGTTCGAGATTGGTTTTTCTTGAGTTTCTGCCGTGTTTTAATGTCTTATGTAAATCCTATTTGCGTTTAATTCAATCTTTGTTAGTAACATTTACTATATCTTAGTAAGGGACAATATTTACGGATGCAAATTGTAGAACAATTTTCAAACCTGTCTGAAACAAATATTAAACTTCACTGGCAAGAGTGTTCTTTTGTCTAAAGTCTATAAGAAAATAGATGGAGAACTTTTAGATGATCCTTGCCGGTTTCCTTCTCTCCTCTACGTTGTCCAGTACTTACAGGATTATTCTTCAGCATTTTCCTGTGATATCAATTACTTGTGGAATTTCAGTGATCATCATTTCAGAATCGTGAGGTTCTTTCCAGCGTTTTCCTACGGTGGATAACACTTGTGCGGCATTCCCGTGATCTTCGAGTCAGAATCGTGAACATTCTCTGAGGCGTTCTACTGGCGTGGATTTTAATTGTGTGTGGCATCCCGTGATCATCGTGTCAGAATCGTAACCATTCTTTGAAGCGTTTTCCTGCGGTGGATATTAGTCGGGTAAAGCGTTCCAGTGATCATCGTGTCAGAATTCGGGAACGTTCTTCGCGGCGAGACAATGTCATGTCATTATCGGCAGCGAAAGCGTGAGTAATCGTCTTGTCGCACGGAATCAATCTGTTGTGTTTCTCGTGAACCATGATTCGCTATGAAAACGTCCATCCAAGGTGTTCTGATGACAAACAGTGACGAAAATGATCAATTTTTCTCAGGATTCCTCTACGTTTTTCTTCCTCTAACAGATCTTTCTTTCTCTGGATATAGCTCCAGCTTTATTTTGGTCCTATTTGTGGTAATGCAATTTTTCCTCACTTTCATTTCAGATAGTTTCTTTGAAGCACAGTTGACAGACTAAGAAATTCATGGCCATCCAGTCATCATCTAATCCATTGGCGGAATTGTTACCCAACCATTACTGATGCTGGTTCAGCCTCTGAGGTAACTCTCTTGTGAATATTTAGATACAGAGACTTCATTTTATGTACTGTATGACTCTTGTGTCACTCATATGAAATTAACCCTTGAACTCCCACGAGTGACCAAGACAGAATTTCTCTTCACAATCTTAATGCAATATCAAACAGACAAATGATGAAAACAAAGAAAAGTATCAGTAAGGAGATTATTAGTTGATCCAGTAGTAAATTCTTCTAACTAACATCACAAGAATTCTATGGCAGACAGTAAGGAGAATTACCTATGAAATCTTGGGTGTGAAAGCGCTAGGGAAAAGGGGAAGGGAATGAGGCTCTTACTGATTTTTTTCCTAAATCGTAGCTAGGTACGATCATTTTTTTTTAATGCACAGAAGTTGTGCAGGCACAACATTATGAGGGTTGTATTATTGTTTGAAGCTTTAATTTCAATCGAAGCAGAGTTGGGACTACTTGTAATGAAGAGTTAGGCTAGTATAGTGCAAATGTGTATGGGTGGGTGACAGTGATGTAACACGACCACTACAGTTGAACTCCGATGACTCGAACCCTCGGTAACTCGAATTCTCCGCTAAATCGAAGCAAAACTGATTTCCCTTGGATTTGCCTTACATATATTTACTTTAATTCTAACCTCTATAACTCAAAACTCCACTAACTCGAAACGATTTTCACTTCCCTTTAGTTATGTTTGTTTGTAATTTTACCTTCAATAACTCGAAGTCGATTTTCACTAACGAGCCGTAACATTTTGCACCGGAAGATTACATTTAATCTCGTCCATATGTTATGACAAAGTGACCTTTGTCGATATCACACGTTTGTATGTCCGTAAACATACAGTCTTGATATTTCTTCCCAGTGAAGAGAAATAATGGCGCGTAATCTGGAATCGATATGTTGTCATTACTTTTCAATCTTGCCCAGTTCATCCTTGAGAACAATGACACGTTTCTTCTTCCCCTCAAAGACAAAACCCCTATAACCGCGATAACTCGAAGTAATTTCAGTTTCCCTTGGCAGTTCGAGTTACCAGGGTTTAACTGTAAAATTTTCGCTGTGTTTTTGTGGTTGTGGAAGTCGTGCTTTTTGTAAAACCTTTGAGTAGTGGTAAAACCATTGTAATTACATGTATCCAGCCAGAAGTGTGAGAGTAACTTTCCTTACCATAAACCCACTTTCTTTTTCAGATGTGGGATTGAGTATCACTCTGTCGTAACTAGAATGGTCGAGATTTCGAAGAGGCGTTTTCCCTCGCAGCATTTCCCTCTAGTTTTCGTAGTCTATTATGGGAATTAAGCAGTGGACGTTCCACAAGGGGAAAGTGGATTCCAGCGAATCGAACACGAGCCACAGCGGTGAGAGGCGAGCGCTCTAACCTCTGCGCCATCCGCGCTCCCTGAGTCTCTTTTATGTCTCCTAGTGGCTTACTTTCTACAAATCTCTTTCCACTTGACTACTAGTAAATCCCACTTTAAAGCGCAGAAAGTTGGAATGGACAAATAATTTTTATCATTTAAAAACGCTGCCAATAAAAGAAAACATAAACGAAAGCGTGCGAAAATAATACAAGCTCAAGCTGGTGGCTTTTCTCCCTCGCCTTAGGTCTTTCACTGACTCGATCAATGAGAGATTCGGCGTAAGTAAGACGGCATGTTGCATGACTTTCAAACAAATATGCACGAACAATTTTTTTATTCTGATGACATAACTGGGTACAGTCGACTCCTGTAATTGCGGACACCCTCCGGAGGGAGAGTTAGTGTTCGTAATAACGCGAGTCCGTAATAGTGGGGTACGAGAGAAAACAAATTGTTTTACTCCGGACATATGAAGTAATATGTACCTACACAAACATTAAACTTCTAACGTGACCTCGCGAACGGGAAAAAGATGCGACCACAAGAAGAAGATTCTTTTGACCTATTAAAGAATGGTTTCTTTATTTTCCTTTATTGTAATGTAGCTTTATATTATGTGAGTCGGGATCTTTGACGAAGTACTGAAGTGTCCGCTATAGCGAGAGGGGGGGGAGGGTACATGAGAGTGTCTGCATTTCCGTATTAACGAGATTCCGTAACAATAGGAGTTTGTTTCAGATATTTCTTAATGCGTTTCGTCGGGGGGGCAGGCTCTTGTCTGCAATGGCGAGGTTTCCGCTGGGCGAGTCGATCGTTGCCTATTTCCGTCCCTCAGTCTGTAAACGGGGGCTGTAGAGGAGCAGAGCAGAAAAAGGTGGAGCTCTTGGATGATCTCGAACCAAGATCTCTTTTGATTGAAATGTATATTCGTTTTTGCCCTGGTAATGGTTGGTAGAAGATCAGGCTTAGGTCAGGATGTGACCAGTACAAAAATGCGCTCACTCTGCGCAGCTACACCGCTTTGTTTGGCACGTGCCCCATTTACCAAATAAACCTCTAGAATAAGCTAAGTTTTGTAATCGTCAGTCGAGGAGCGAGTTATGATTTTCACTTTCTTTCTTTTTGGATTATTAGAAGCCGGATCAAATAAAAAATTGTAACAATTCTATCCTCATGAAGTTTTCCTGTTCCTTGTTAGGGGGAAAGGATCAGTGTTGGCCCATTTCTAACAATTATAATGACCCAAATCTTGGGAAGTTTTTCAGAAAGGCCTTTGTTACTAATGGTGTAGACCGATTTGTTTAAAACGAGTCAGACGGGCGTAACCTAGCCGCGCTGTATGCTGGTCTTTTCGCTCCCAAAATCACTTAAACTTGCTTTGTGGCCCATTGTACTGGAGTTTATCACAGTTTTATTCAGCGCGAAGTGATTATTGTATGACCAATCTCCAAGGATGAGATGTAAGTTGCAGGTTATCCCTAAACATTTCGTTTTATTCCCCTAGACAGTTCGCTATAGTCCGTTTACTTTCCACAGGAGAGAGAGAGAGGTTTTGTGAATTGGAAGTGTCTCGCGCAAGAACATCGGAGCCAGACCCCGGTATGAGCTCGAATAAGGACCTTTCGACTCGGGGTCTGTCACGTGCAAACGGTAAGGTCACATTACACATATTCCCTTGGAAATGAGACAACAGGTAGAGGTAGAAGGGAAGTAATTTATTCCCTTCCATACCACAAAGCAGGAAATCTCATTCCTTCCACGTAATATTAGCCTGAAAGAGGAGGCAGGGTACCCCCGTACACTTAATTTTGTCCCTTGTCACGTGCTCTTGAATCGATTAAGAGTGACATCAATAATTTTTCTAACCTTTTTCGGGATCACATCTGACCAGGTCTTTAAATTTTTTAAACCTTCAAAGGTTTGTTGGGATAGCCGGAGCCGGACTCACAATTTCTAAATGCTTGTCTTAACATTGCGTAAGCTTTACAGACACACTTTTCGTAAGGGCGTTTTCCGTGAAAGAAGCTTGTGCCGAAACGTTTACATTATTCAAATTTGCGATAAAAATGAAAAAGTATCAGTTGGAAAGGTGAGGTGAGTGTCAAGCCAGCCGTTGTGTCAAGAAGTACTGCAGTGAGCATGAGGAGACGAGGAGTTCTGGGCACTAAGAGTGAGTCAGCAACAGACTGCGCATGACATCTTATTCAACATGAGCCTGCGATATCTAGCAGATCTTCAGAGACAAAATGGTGAGTTCTACTGAATCTTTCTCGTTTCTTTCATCATGAATGATGAGAACCTTCGGAAAGTTTCTTTTTTTAATAGTGTAGAAAGTTCCTTCATGTGACTTTTGTTGTTTGTGTGATACAATTTACCCTTAAACTCGCCAGATTCGGCAGTACACACCACTAAAACGTTTATCTCGTCACACGTTTTCTGTCAAAACCAAAGTCTTTCCTGCTATTTTGAAAAGCAAGTCCAGTAAGGACTTATGGCTAAGCGATAATGTAAGTCACAAGTAATCATGCTCTGTGATTTGTAATGATTAGAGTTTTAGAATGGAACACTGAGTTGTTGAAGCAAAATTCGCAAACGTTGTTTTTCGTTAACCTGATCTATTTCATCAAATTAAGCTGACATAAGCTTTGCTGTATCTTGTTAAGAAGTGTATTGTGGAGGATAACTGCACATTATTATTTGTGGAAAAATGATTGTGTTATTGTAATTTTTTTAAATTTGAATGTAATTTTTACTAAAATCGTGATTTTTTACACAGGGTCAAAATCAGTCTGGCAGTGGGGGAGCTGGAGGAGACAAGAAGGGAGACAAGGTGTGGAACTAATGAAAAATATATCAAGACTCGTGTTTAAATGCAGTTGTTTGCCACTGCAGCTCATCTTTGTCCTTAATTCAAATTTTGTTGTACATTGCCAGTACAAAACTGTATCAAAAATGTTTGATCAAGTAAGATTTGAGCTCCAGAAGTAAGCATTATTTATATATACAAGTAAAAGAGCTAGCTAAGAGCATTTCTTTTTGAAAAATATGTTCAACAAAATTGTGTTGAATAATTTTTTCTTTTGGATAGAGTACCAATTCATGCAACTTTAATTATGTGGAAGATTGAGGGAATTTAATTTTGAATCTTAGTTTTTCTTAGCATTCATATGAGGCAGGCATCTTGGTGGGCTGGTTCCACCATTTGTTTGATAAGATACACCAACGAGAAGGCTTCTGATCACTTGCTATATGTTTACATGTACTGGACTCTTTTCCTAGGACAAGAGAAAGAAGTATGAACCACCAATTCCTACTAGAGTAGGGAAGAAACAGAAGAAAACCAAAGGCCCTGATGCAGCCAACAAATTACCTCAAGGTATTAAAAATCCTCTCCTGTACCAACTCACTCTTGCTTTGTTAATAAAATTAGCCAGTGTTCTCCCTTATTTGAAGAAAAAATAAATTTTCAAACAGGTAGAGCGATCCTTTTACCAACTTATCATAGGCAGTCATAAGAGTTACTACTAGTGGTACATTTTACTGGTTTTCTAAGAAAACTGTCACCCAATTATATGTACATTTTTTGTTGAGCTTAGTGCAGACCAGACAAAGTGCTTATAAATTATTTCTCTATACAAATAAGGCTATGTTTTCTGTGAATTATTTGAAGTTTTAGAAATAAAAATCCTTACAGAATTATGACTTGGAGGAATTAACAAATTCTTTGATATTACTTTTTTTAAAGTTACTCCACACAGAAACTGCAGGTTGAAGTTGTTGAAGTTGGAAAGAATAAAAGATTATCTACTACTTGAAGAAGAGTTCATCCAAAACCAAGAGAGGCTCAAACCTCAAGAGGAGAAAAATGAGGTTCAGTCTTCTTTAAACTTAATCTGTAATTAACCCTTTACACCCCAACAACAGTATGCATATTCTCTTTTTTAACCTCTATGCATTTCCTAAGGTGCTGACTGGGAGAGTTTTTAGAACATCAAGAGCTTTGTTAGATGGTGATCGTTTTCTTTGTTCTAATTACCTTAATGTTTGATTCAGGGGTGATGTTGTAAAGAGAAAATTCATGCTAGTAATCTAAGGGGTAAAGGTTTAAGGAAGAAATTGGAGTGACAGTTTGCCTAGTATAAAATTGAAACTTTTTGTAAATGTATCTATGGTACATGTATATCTCTGTAACAGATATTCATATTTGTAACCAGTCTCACAGATTCAAACTGGTTGAATTCAGGTGACTGATTGCAGAGACAAAGATTTAAAAAAGATTCTTTGAGTCACTGTAGACTGCAACTTGTCTCCACAACATGCTGCATTGTGTCTCTCAGTTGTCAACCTGCATTTATGTATCAACCTAGTAACAGTTCTTCAGTTAATATGGCTCTTGGAGGAAACAAAATCGCTCAAATATTATTCACACAATACAAACATTGATGTAAATTTGATTGTAGGAAGAGAGGTCGAGGGTTGATGAATTACGGGGCACTCCCATGTCAGTGGGAACTTTAGAGGAGATCATTGATGACAACCATGCTATTGTATCCACCTCTGTTGGTTCAGAGCATTATGTTAGCATTTTGTCATTTGTTGATAAAGATATGCTGGAACCTGGCTGTACTGTATTGCTGAATCACAAGGTAACCATAAGATATTTTTATTTGCATTTCTCCACTCGCTTTTATTATATTTCTAAGAATCAAGTGATATATTTCTTAAATGCTATGAACTTGAGATCCATGTAATTGGCAACATAAAGACATGAGAGAGGTAGTTGTCTGAAACACATTTAACAAAAGGATACAAGAATGGCTACACTATTATGTAGTTCACTCTTCTCTGTCAATTGCCTGGAGCACTTCATTTGTCTGATGCTATTCTTTAAATTGTAGTCAAAGATTGCAGTTGTGATGAAAGAATAATTGAAATGTTTTGTTCAGGTGCATGCTGTTGTTGGTGTGCTGTCTGATGATGCAGATCCCATGGTAACTGTGATGAAACTTGAGAAAGCACCACAAGAGTCATATGCTGATATTGGTGGACTGGATCAACAGATACAGGAAATCAAGGTACTTTGCAGATAATTCTGTACCTCTGTCTTGAGATTCATTTCCAAGAGATTTTATCAAATGTCAACTTTAGATTTTCAAGCCAAAATTTAAAAAGTGTTTTCAAGTTGTTCATATGGCTACTTGTGCAAGTAGTTTTCATCATAGGTTTTAACATCTAATATTATCAATAATACAATACTATCCATAGTATTAAAACAGTGAAATTATTTAATCTGGTTACTGTATGACCACCCATCTTTTCTAGAATTTCCCAAGGTTTGATTGAAAACTGTTTTTGAGATAATTCCAACATTCTGTGAACAGTGTTCTCCTGATGGAGTTATGTCATGTTTTTTAGGAATCTGTAGAACTTCCATTGACTCACCCAGAGCTGTATGAGGAAATGGGGATTAAACCACCTAAGGGTGTTATATTATATGGCCCACCTGGTACAGGTGAGTTACACAATCCAACCAAATGTAAGAGAAGCATTATATTTCTAGACAGGGAAGTTATTATGCTGAGATCTAGACAGATCTGAGTCCTGATGTGGGCCATTGGAGACATCAAGTAATCACAACAAAGATTGCTAATCAAGAATTAATCACAAAATGATCTTCAGTTTTCATTAGAATTTTGTCTGTGGCTTACCATTTTCATTGTCTAATAGTGTTTGACTCTACATGAATACTGTTAGTCTGGCTACGTCCATCAGGGCTGCTGCTGTTAGGCAGAAGATAAATATTAATGAAACATACAAGTTTTAAATGCTCATCCACAGCCATTGCCCTGCAGGGGAAATCTTTTGTTTGACCATGTTCTCTGTAGAGCTGGTTTGGCGGTATGGGAAGGTCCCTTTAGTGTTGCATTATATTTAAAATAATGGAAATCTGTAGCTGTCAGGAAACCTGATTTTTGGGATTACAAAGCATTTTTTTTGCACACAGATTCAGAGTACTAAGCAACAAAAAGTTGATTACATTTTTAGTTACATTGTGATTTTTCTGTCAATCTTTGGACTGTCTCAGCACTTAATGCATGTTCTCACTCGTATTTGTTTTACTCACTAAAGTTTATGTTTATTCATGATCATAGGAAAGACCTTGCTAGCAAAAGCTGTAGCCAATCAAACAGCAGCAACCTTTCTCCGAGTTGTGGGATCAGAGCTCATTCAAAAATATCTGGTAAAGGAAAAAATCTTGTTTCTGCTTCTTCCTAACAACTTGATTTTTTTTAGCTTGATCAAAAAATGATTTTAGTAAAGCAAGGGTAATATTGACTTTATGTGACACAATGTACTGTTGCTTTCTATGTAGAAGAAGAGTATGGAAAATTTTGAGTTTGAAGCTCACTCATCAAGTAAAGAAATCTCTCTTTTCTTGATGAAAAAACTCAAAATGAATCATCCTTTATCTGCTGTCTTCACTCAAGAAGACTTCAACATGGTTGAACCTACACTCTCAGACATCATATGTTGGGACACTTCTCCATCTATGATGTTCTGTCATCCGTCTTCTCCTTCCAGTGTTAATTGCCAGTGTGTCTATGCCATCTTGCAGACCAACATTGAAAGGGGCAGGGGAGGTAGTTATTGTCCCAACAAATGTGTCTGGGAGTGTAGCTGCTTGCAAGATACTTGTTGCAAATTTATCTGGTTAATGGCCAAATGAGCTGGCCGGCAAGTGGTCTGCAACTCAGTTGTTAGAGCATCTGATGACAAAATAGAAACTGGGTAGGATTCAAACTCTCAATGTTATCTTACATGATCCATGCCTCCTTGCTTTTTTTATTTACTTTTCACTGTATTATTTTCTGTTTTAGGGTGATGGTCCTAAGCTAGTAAGAGAAATGTTTCGAGTTGCAGAAGAACATGCCCCATCAATTGTTTTCATTGATGAGATTGATGCTGTTGGAACCAAAAGGTGTGTTATGCTAATGCAACTTACACACTCTGTTCTTGCTCATCTAATAACTTGTACAACAGGATATAAATGATCACATCCCACGAATGTATAAACTTTTTATTAATTAATTTGTTTGTTTGTTTTGCTTCTGAAGTCCAGAAAACAATGGTTTGCTGTGTTTTAATGGCATGGTTCCAAAATATTTTGCATCATCTCTCACTATTGCTCTTTCTAGGTACGAGTCTAATTCTGGGGGTGAGCGAGAAATTCAGAGAACAATGTTGGAGCTTCTCAACCAGTTAGATGGATTTGATTCCAAGGGGGATGTCAAGGTAACCTTTGCAGCTTGTGTTCAAATCTGATTGTTTCTATTTTTTAATTTTTTTCCATGTTCTTTTGTCCACCATTGTTAAGTAACCCTTTGCACCCAGCATTAGCATTCATTTTCTCCACAGTTCTCTTTTAAATTCATATGGTGCTGAAAAGGATAATTTGTTTGACAACTAGGTGCTTTTTAAATTAGTGATCATTTCCTATTTTCTCATGACCTTAACTTCTGGTTCAAAGGTAACACTATAAAGAGATGTTTTTTGGTCAGTCAGTCTCAGTGGTCCAAGGGTTAACATTCAAGTAGAATTGGTAACCTGCTGGTTAAATGATATAAGGCATGTCATTCAAAATGTAATCAGTATTAGAGAATATTCTGTACCTCTGACATTGAAACGTGTCTGCATAAATTATAGTAAACAATCTCTTTATGCTCAAGTATCAGGTCATGTGACCCCATAGCAATGTCATACATGGTGTGCATACAGACTCTAGCAAAATCTTGGGGGTCTCAACAGAAGTTATCTAGGATTTCAAAATGTTTCAAAACAGTAATTTTCAAAATTATTTGTAGCATTTAGTTTATATTGACTGAATGTTGGCCCTATTGTTTTTAGGTTATTATGGCCACAAACAGAATTGAAACTTTGGATCCTGCACTTATCAGACCTGGTAAAAAATAGTTCTTTAGAGAGAATGTTATTGTTGTTATGTACTTGAGTGAGTGATAGGGCTAGACAGAAAATATATATGGCTAGCAGTCAAATATTTGGCCAGAGGTCAAATATTTTCCCCATCAGATCTTTATGTCCTTTAGTCAATAAGCAATTTTATCTCACGAATGTTGTTCTTTCTTTTTCTCCCTTTCACAACTGGTAGGGCTTTACAGCTTTGTATGGCCTTGCTAACCCCATTTTGTACAGCCTTATGTGGGGATCCCTGTGTACTGTTTTTCACTGAGAACTGAAACACTCCTCTTACTGCATTTCCTATGCCTGTAGAACTGAAAAAAATTATTCCTTTACCCACTTTGCACACTCCAAACTTAAGTTAAAACGTGCTGATGAGCTCGTAAGGCTGACTGGCTAGCACTCTCTAGTCACCTGCACGAATGCTGGAGAAAAGGTAAGAGCCTGAAGGGACAAAGATGGGAATAAATGGAGTTTCATTTGATTGTAGTTTGGTGAACTAGGAAAATGTCAGCCTCCTGCTATGATTATTATAAGAGGAATACAATCTCAGCTTTTTTATTTGTTGGGTCTTCTCACTGACAAGTTCTTTTGTATAACCCTCCAAAGGTCGCATTGATCGTAAGATTGAGTTTCCTCTTCCTGACGAGAAAACAAAACGTCGCATATTCACGATCCACACTGGTCGCATGACACTATCAGAAGATGTCAATCTGGAAGAGTATGTGATGGCCAAAGATGACCTCTCTGGAGCTGACATCAAGGTGAGAAGGCGATATCAGTTTATAGCGTGTTAATTTCCCTTGTTTCAGAGTGCATGAAGCTAGTTCACCACCAAGAAGTCACCTCTGGTAAAAATAGTAAAATGTATTGTGGGCAAATTCCAACAGCTGACAGTCAACCTTAATTGCCATGGCCGCGCCTCGGCAGAAACGAGATCCTGAGGACGACATTTGAAGAGACCACAGATCCAGCCTAAACCCGGGCTGACGTAAACTTTGTCTGGATGATTATTTCTTTAAGTTGAATGATCATTTCAATTCACCTACATGCTGCTAGTATTAATATTGAGATCAAACTAACTTGTGAATTGTTTACATCACGCAGGCCATTTGCACAGAGGCAGGTCTGATGGCTTTAAGAGAAAGGAGAATGAAGGTGACCAACGAGGACTTTAGAAAATCCAAAGAGAACGTGTTGTACAGGAAGAACGAGGGCACGCCAGAGGGGCTCTACCTTTAATTCTGGATTTCGTCTTTTTTAGTAACAATCCGTTGAGAATTCTTTGTGTAAAAATTAATAAAATCGATATCAGTAACAAATTTTCTTGTAATGTGCTCTGATAGGTATTCTTAGGGAGAAAATACTGAGAAACAGAACCCAAATTACTGATAGAGGTGTGACCCAAAGATGATTTTTGTTTTGTTTTGTTTTTTTACAGCTAGTCACCTTTAGACACGCTGTAGGCGAGAGAGGGCCGTGGGGAAGGGAAAATAGGAAAACTTCTTATCCTTTCCCATCACACCTAGCGCTCGTGTACCATCCGTTGTATGCCAACGACTTTCTTTTACCCAGAAGTCGCGGTGCCTTGAGCGAAAATCCCCAAGCGAATGTTAAAGACAATAATCAACAACATAAAATGTTCGTTATTTATTTGTTGTAAAAAATATATCTTATCATTTCTTCGAATTAATTTAGTACAAAAAAATGTTTTTTCAAGTAAAATTCCAATGTACTGATCAAGAACGAAAGAGTATTTTCGTCATCCTTGATTTTTTCCAGAACCTTGGGTATGGACTTGTAGTGTCACGCAATCACAAACACGTTTATGACCGAAATTTCATCAAACCCCTACGCAACGCTGTAACCAACCTCCTTGGAGAAGGTAGATCTTTACGTTGTACAAAAATAATCAGCAGTTGAGACACATCCGGTTCAGAGTCGAGTCCAAAATTCAGGCATCTGAGAGTGCGGTGTTCATCTCAGCGCCTCCATCTTTGTAAACAAAGTTGGCCTAGAGGTAAGGATGAGGGGCACCTCAGGTTTAATTCAAAAGGTACCGCTGGAAAAGGAGCCACATGTTAATGACACAATACGAACACACGAGACAAGGTAAGTCATCGCTTGAATTCTTAGAGCCGGCTAAAATCCACACCACGGTTTTACGCGATCAGTGGGCCTCAGGCTCTCTCTATAAGAGGATTGATTTAATGAAACTAATGTTCTTCCAATATGAGCTTTCGGCCTTCTTGACACCGTTCACAAAGATAAATGTTCAGATAAAAGGTTCAGCTGAACTGAGGATTGTTAAGGACGCTATTTTGTTAAACTACGGCTACACTTTGTTTAAATGATCAAACGATGAAGTTCCTACTCTCAAAGATCGTTACTTACCCTCTCCTCCAGACCGGAGCTTCTCCGTTTTTTTTGAATTAACTAAAAGATGAAAGGAACAAAGTCAACAAAGATAGTAAATGTTGAAGGGAAAAATTGGAATCTACCTAACCTTTAATGTCAACGGGTTTCACAAGGACAAAAAGATTTTGTTTTCCCTAACACAGTTCGCTTAAATTCAATTTCATACCAATATCAACTTCAAACTGAAGTTTGAGTTAATCCAGGAATTACCCCAACCCTTTACATCCTAACATCATCCATATTCTCCATACTGTTGTTCATACATTTACAAGGAAAATCTGATTAACAATCGAGAGCTTTAGTTGTTGATCATTTCCTATCTTCTCGTGACCTTAATGTTTTATCCAGGCTTGACATTGTAAGGAGAAGTTAGATGCTAGTCACTCTTGGGGATCAAAGGGTTAAGACTATTCTGCACACAGAATTTTCTCACCATTACCGCCAACTCCGTTCCAGTCTCATCTCTTTCTTGACTTCGAAGGGGGAACAGAGAGGACCGTGGAAGCGAAGTTGCATTCACATGCATGCAGCATGCTTGTTCGCCGACACAATTTCGAACAGTGAAGTAAGCATTGGGACTAGGGTTCTAATACCGCTTTATGTTTAAGCCAAGACCATGCACTCGATTCAAAAGGTTAGGGCACAGAATAAGCAATTTTCTTTTTGGTATCCGCCGCTTTCGCCCCCTATCGAGTTCGCCCCTACCTTATACCGTGTTGGCCCCCACACTTTTCGAGTTCGACCCCACCAAGTCGAGTTCGCCCCCAGATTGATTCATGTCTAAATTAGTTGCTATCGAACATTGCAAACAAGTTAAAACCAAGACAAGTTTTGAATTTTAATTGACCGACGGCCATTTTGAAAGTTTATATGTGCGTGGGAGCTGGGGCGACCGGAAACAAAAAATAATGTGGTCAAACAGTGAAATACAGAGAACTTTCGTTGGTCATGACCTTTATAGATTGGGTGGCTCCTACAAGAGCCGTTTTTGTATTTGACCGAACCGAAAGGCTACAAGGTCGTTCGACGAAAACCATATGAAGCGTGGAACGCATTCTCTTGGTCAGTCTTAAATAATCAAAAGCCTGACCAAATCGTGGTGTCGTAAATTCTTCAGTCTTAATTTCATAAATAAAGCTAAACGAGGTAAGTATCTGTTACACATTTATTACACATTTATTACAAGTCTAACAACTTAAGCAATGCTGTCGCGATGAAAGTGTGGTTAGCATCTTTTCAAGTCTGGTTGTTATGATCAACACAATGCGATGAAAGCGTGATTTGCGATCCTGGTTTGCATTTTCTCAAGTCTGGTTGCTATGACCTTAAAACACAATGAAGTGTGCAACGCATTCTCTCAAGAAGTCTTAAATAATCAAAAGCGTAATCAAATCGTGGTTTCGTAAATTCTTTAGTCTTATTTTCATAAATAAAGCAAAACGAGGTACAAGTCTAACAACTTAAGCAATGCTGTCGCGATAAAAGCGTGGTTTGCATCTTCTTTAGTCTGGTTGTTACGATCAACACATTTCGTGTTCGTTAGATAAACCGAGGTTGTTTTACATCTTTTCCAGTCTGAATAATAAGTTAAGCAATGTTGTTTTCATTAAGTGTGGTTCTCTTTATCACAAGTTCAGTGTATACAATTATTTCTGGTAACCCCAGATTCCACGCAGAGTATTTAGTTGATTCCGTCAACTCAGTTCCCGAGCGGGTTCCGCGCAATTGCCGAAATTCAAAACGGTCGTCGCTGACGTGACATTTGGAACATTCTGCTAGTGCCTTCGTCACAAATCAACTCATCTGGATATCACTCAATCAAGGGGCGAACTCGACTTGATGGGGTCGAACTCGGAAAGTGTGGGGGCGAACACGGTATAAGGTAGGGGCGAACTCGATAGAGGGCGAACGCGGTGCAATTCTTCTTTTTGAGTCTATAAATTTATTCTTTGCAACCTAAGAAACTCTTCGGCATGCTGAGCTTTTCATGATGAACTTAAACATTGCCTTCACTCCTCCATGACACCAAGACTCGTCAGAACAAAAAGTAAATTTCACTTGGAATGAAAAGGTTTTTTCTTTAGTATAATATACGCTCAGAAAGACAAGGCTACCCACCTTAAACGCTACAAGAGCCACAGCAACTACAGCCAAGGTGCAGAAGACAGATATGAATGCAACACTAGTAACAGACACACTGCTGCTTGCGGTTTCCTCTTGTTTTTTGGAAACAGTTTTTTCTTCCACATACATGGGCGACGCTAACATAACGTCGGGTTCAGCTACAAAGGTGATACCGCTGAATTCAATGACCAGTTCGTGATTGCGAGCCTGTAAAAGGAAAAGAACGCTCTTCTACACAAAGTAACATAAACAGTTTTCACTCCAGAGATCTTTTGGCTAAATAACTCGTAGTTATAGTCAAAATAACATGAGCTGTTGTTCCAGAAATTTGTCCCGAAAATCCTTTGCTACATCCAAAACTCTTTGTGAACCACGTGGTGTTCCTGTGACCTACTAGGGTTGACTCTTGTTTTTGTCAGATCAGTAATGAGATTCATCAAACCTTTTCAGTTATTTCATCTGCAAAGTCTCTCAGGTCTTTTCCCCCGCTAGCTGGTTCAACGCTAAATCCAACTAAAATACTTCCCTCTTGCACCTAAAAATATAACGGAGAGGAACTCAGAACGAAGAGGTGAATCCATGTGCGACAGACAAACAGTGACGAAAACTACACAGCTATGAATTAATGTATTTTTACCTTAAACATAATTCTCTCCAGAGGAAATCTTACTTTAAATCATATTATTACAAAAGAAGTACCCTTGGGGTTTTTGTTTGATGTTTTGTCAGAGACCCTCCTCCCAGTCAACTTTGCACGCAACACGCTCTCTTTTGCGTTACATGACGGGACGGATGCGGAGGAGACTACCTTCATCCAAGTATATATCAAGAGCGCACATACCTCAAGGCCATGTAGTTGATTTTCCTTTAATGAAAACATTGTTATCATCTGTGTCTTGACTGATCTAGAAAACGAGACATGAATATTTATTTTAACACAATCACCGGTACGATCTACTAAACGGACCAGCTGACTGACTTATGACTACGAACGGACGGACGGCCAAATAGATGGAAGAAAAATAGAAAGAGGCTGAGACAGACAAACAAACGCAGCTACGAAAAGCTGACGGACCAGTCAAGTACAGATTCATTGCTTAAAAGTGATTTTAAAAAAATCGAACGAACAGTGCACTCACTCTTTAAATTGACCCAAAACATCCTTCACTAAACCTAGGCTGTAGTTGAAGGTAAGTCCAACATGGACGCTCCTAGAAAAAAAAGGAAAACTCAAAACAGAACCATCAAAACAAAATTCCAAACTGAGGTTACAACAGTAAAAAAAAAAACAGCAATTTTATTTAGAACAGAACGATTACTTTAAGGCAGAAAGCATACTTACAAAAGTTGTGGACCTGTGAAGAAATAGGGAAAAAAGAAACCATGAACATTTCAAAGCCTTGTCAACCAGATTAACGTTTAACTGGAACGATGATGTTTTGTCTCGTGCGGGCTAAAAGAAATAACTTAGACCTCCGGATCACGAAGAAAAATCTTTCTTTACAGTTGGAACTGTTACTTTTAGGGACTTTTAGAAAACCACGACGGCGACGGAAACAAGAAAATAGATCTAATGATCTAGAAAAATCTAAACCTATGTGCATTTCTAAGCCTTCCTCTGTAGAACACCAACTTCGCACGGGAACCTCTACATAAATTTAATCGCGTTTTTATTTTGAACTCCACACCATATTCACATGTCTTGCCGAAAGAAGAAGTCGCACTGCCACAAAAAGTAAATATATCAAGCAACTGGCGAAATTCTATGAAATTAAGTCTTTACATATCAAGAAATTCTCAGGAAAAGTAAAGAGATTTATCAGGGTTGGTAATATCTATACCTTTATTGGCGTCACAGTTGGGTTTTCCCCTTACTCTAGTTCCAGGCCACTCGGATCCGTCCCCTGACGCGCACCAACAATATCCAGTAGAGCCCCAGCACTGCACAAGCGCATAGCTACCATCTGCATTGCACTGGGGTATGAAGGCTCCTACCAGCGCGGGGTGGGTGGCTTGATAAGCTTTCTGTTGGCATTCTGTGAGACCTGAAAGTAAAAAAAGATTCCAAGGTACAACCCATAAGTTTTTCTACCCTTGAAATATCACTGCTAGCAAGCAACGTCTCCTAATGCTATAGTCATTTCATCATAAAGGCCACCGAAATATTAGAGAACAAACACAAAATGGATTAAGAAGGATCAACCTCGCTGTTCCTAAAAAAAACTGTGTATACACTGAAACTGTGAGTTCAGATCTGATTTACAGAATCTTTATGGTTTGAATATGAAGAGACCTCAAGCGAACCAAACATAGACACAATAAACCACAGTACAACCACTCTGTATTTCAAAGTACGGTGCCGCTTACATTGCACCTCCTTGCCCATTCTGTTGTAGAACTTGGGTTTGCAAGCATCAGGGCCACAGCCTCCCATCGGGGCTATACAGTTGGCGTCAGGATTGCTGGTACAAGAAGCATTCTTACAAGTATCACCGCAAAGCTGCCATGTTTTGCCGTCATCACAAGAAGGACCGATACTGAATGTGATGGCACCTACAAGGAACAGTGACTTAATACTGTGCCTAATGGCAAGATGTTAAATTCGTTAGAGGCATCAGATTGCTGGAAACGCGGATATCAACACTAGTCACTCTCGATCTCGTTGTAATATATTAAAATATCAACAGCTAAATCACTCCTAATGTCTCGAATATGACTCATTTACTTATTACAATTGCAAAGGCAACTTCTTAAGTACACTCTCAATGAGGTTGCTTAGGAAATACGATTTACGTCACCTTTAAAAGGTAAGAGACATTTGTTACCTCAAAGATACCTTTTCTTTCTTTCAGTTTGAAACCTACATGTAACATACGTGGCTACTTTGCCCCATTGTCAGATCGCCCCCATAATCAGAGCGTTCCATAAAGAGCGAGATCGCCCCGCCGCCGTCATTTCGCCACAAACAAAAGTGAATTTGCTCCAAACACTTGGCGAACTAATTGAAATCCTAAAACGCATACGACATAATTCGAAAGAGAGTGAAAAGGAAAACGAACGACCGAAAAGAACACCCCTGGAAGCACAGATAACTTTGCATTCTCCCAAACCTCAATTTCATGTCGTTAGCAATTAATATAGTTGAAATGAGGCCGGTGCGATACCGGTGCAGCGCTCTACCAACTGAGCTAACAAGCTAACTGGGATTGGCAGAGGTCATAGGTTCAAATCCCGTATGGGCCTGAATTTTTTTCATGCCTTATTTCAACTACTAGATTAGTAGTGTTCATAACTGCCAGGATCGCTTCTATATCCGTTTCTTCAATCGCAGTGCACATACACGATTTTCATCTATTTTAAGTCATCAGCAATTAATATAATTCATAAAGAATTTATACAACTTAAGGACTAGGGTAGTGGCTGAGAGGTCGAATAACAAAACGTTTTGTTCACTACTGTTGGGAAATGCTTGTTCAATTGCAGAAACAGATTTGCTGTAAGGGAAATTACTAAATGGATTGATCACTCACACGTTGGTCGTCCCCTGATTCTGGTGTCAGGGATCTCTTTTCCATCTTTATCAACACACCAGCAGAAGCCTATGGAGCCGTGACACTGTACTGGGGCATATGAACCGTCAGCATTGCACTTTGGAACAAACCCGCCAATGAGAGGGTTTTGAGTTGCATTCAAATTCTCCTTTTGACATTTCGTAGAGCCTGAAAATGGAAACAAAAATAAAACTTCTCTCACCCATGAGAATTCTTGAAATTTCTATAATTTCAAACTTGAGGTCTCAACAGTTGATTGATTCAACTCTTCCCTCAAAAGCCCCGACTAACTTGCCTTCACCCTTTCTGTAAGCGGCTTGAGATAAAGTAACTTCAATGTTACGGGGAGGGGGGGAGTCAGGCGCGGTGGGGTGTGGTGCACTTGACAAAAGGGCATTTTGGT